TTTTTTATCATTTCATGCCTTAAATTTAGGCCTTTTATCCATCTTGAATTAATTTTTGTGAGTGGAGAAAGGTGCGGGTCCAGTTGAGACAAAGTATCGCTCTGTCTCCTGAGTTAAAGTGCAGCGGTGTCATCATAGCTCACTGAAACCTCCAACTCCTGGACTTAAGTGATCCTTTTTACCTCAGCCTCCCAAATAGCTGAGATTGTAGGCATGTACCACTATATCTGGCAAAGTTGTTTTTGTTTTTTTTTTTAGGCTGGTCTTAAATTCCTGGCCTCAAGTTATCCTCTCATCTCAGCCTCCCAAAGTGCTGGGATTATAGGCATGAGCCAATATGGCTGGCCTATAGGGAAAGTGGGCAGGGGTGGAAGGCTGGCTTTATTGGGGAGCAATGTATGCAGTCACATGGGGCTCAGGCTAAGAAGGTTCCCATGCTTGGTTTTATGCTGGGTTGTTGCCATCTTGAAATTTTTTTTTTTTCTTGAGATAGAGTTTCATTGTGTTGCCCTCATTGTGGCATCACAGTTAACTATAACCTCAAACTCCTAGGCTCAAGTGATCTGTTTGCCTCAGGCTCCCAAGTGGCTGTGACTATAGATGCCTGCCATAGTACCCAGCTAGTTTTTCTATTTTTAGCAGAGATAGGATCTTGCTCATGCTCAAGCTGGTTTTGGACTCATGAGCTCAAGCAATCCTCCCACCTCAGCCTCCCTGTGTGCTAGGATTACAGCTGTGAGCCACCACGCCCAGTCTCATCTTGAAATTCTTAATAACATTTGAACACATTTTCATTATATATTTTATGGCCCTGAAAAATTATATAGCTGCATCTTAGGTGTGTGATTAAAATCTCAGTTGGGACTTGGAACAGTCAGAAGGTGGTATAATGTGATTGTCTTGGGCAGAAAGAAAAGAGAATTGAAGGAGGTAAAGCCATCTACACACCAGCAATTCCAAAATATTGTTCTTCAGGGCATTTCATTTATGTGTTATTTATGAAAAGGTTCTATTAGTCAAATAAATTTCATGAATGTATTAAGAAACATTAGATATTTTTATTAGAAAAGAAATTCTTAGTCATTAATTTGATGAGCACAAACAAGTATTCTTTGGATCATAGTTTGGCAAGTGGGAACAGTTAATTCCAGGGTTAGGAGACCTTGTGTATGTTGGGACCTAAGCTTGTGGATTGTCTGGTTGAGTGAGAAGAAAGGGTCTTTGCTGTCTGGGGAGATGTCAAAGCCACTGAGTCATGTGTGGGTCTAGGGTGGGCTTCATTTCCATCTCTACCCCTAAATGCTTTCCAGGTGATATTGTTCCTTTCTTTCCTTCTTTAAGATTGTCCCAACTCATTTCTTAGTCAATTTTCATCCTTACAAAAGATTAGAGGGTATATGTCCCCAAAATTATATATATGAGTCTGCAATGTGCATGTCTCCCTCGAACACTTTGAAGGGATATTCTCTAAGGAGCACAGGAAAGGAGACTTGGGCTCTGTACTACAAAAATATTTATGAATAAAAGCAGTGACCAGTGCTTGCTTTGGAAGCACATATACTAAACTTGGATTGATACAGAGAAGATTAGGATGGCCCCTGTGAAAAGATGACATGCACATTTGTGAAGTGTTCCATATTTTAAAACTACTTATATGCCATCCCTATCAAAATGCCCAAAATCAGTTTTCACAGAATCAGAAAAAAAAAATCTGAAGTTTGTATGGAACTAAAAAAGAGCACAAGTAGCCAAAGCAATCTTGAGGAAAAAGAACAAAGCTGGAGGTATCACATTATTTGACTTCTAATTACATAATACTATAAGGCCATCATAACCAAAACAGCCTTCCTCTAGATGGTATACAACACTTAGATCAATGGAACAGAATAGAGAGCCTGGAAATAAAGCCCATGCTTATAGCCCAACTGATCTTTGACAAAGTTGCTAAGAACATACCCTGGAGAAAGGGCACCCTTTCAATAAATGGTGCTGGGTACCCTTTCAATAACTGGATAGCCATATACAAAAGAATGAAGCTGGACCCCTCTCCCTCACTATAATCAAAACCAACTCAAGATGGACTACAGACTTCAATGAAAGACCTGCAACTATGAAAATACTGGGAGAAAACCTGAGGAAAACTCTTCTGGATATTGGTTTAGGCAAAGAGTTCATGACTAAGACTTCAAAAGCATAGGTAAAAATCCAAAAATAAACAAATGGGACTTAACCAGACAATAAGACTTCTGCACAGCTTAGAGCTTTGTAGCTTAATTAAGTCAGTCTCCAGAAGGGGAGAAAATATTTTCAACCATACATCTTACAGGGTACTGATATCCAGGATTTACAAGGAACTCAATAACAATAAAAACAATTAACCCCATTACAAAGTGGGCTAAGGATATGAATAGACATTTTTTAAAAGGAGACCTACAAATGGCCAAGAAACATGAGAAAAATGTTCAAAATCACTAATCCTCAAAGAAATGTAAATTACAGCTGCTGTATTCTTACACCAATCAGAATGGCTATGATTAAAAGACAAAAAAAAAAAAATGTTGGTGAGGATACAGAGAAAGGGAACTCTTATACACTGTTGGTGGGGATGTAAATTAGTGCAATCTCTATGGGAAACAGTGTGGAGATTTCTCAGAGAACTAAAAATAGATCTACTATACAACCCAGCAATCCCATTACTGCATATCTATCCAAAGAAAAAGAAATTAATATATAAAAAAGGTACACCAGCACTCATATGTTTATTGTAGTACTAGCTACAATAGCAGAGATAGGGAATTGACCTTCACGTCCATCAGTGGAGTTTTGGGTAAAGAAAATATGCTATATATGCACGACAGAGCACAATTCAGCTGTAAAAACAAAATGAAATCGTCTTAAGCAGAAACATGGATGGAAATGGAGGCCATGACATTAAGTGAAACAATCCAGACACTAAAAGACTAATGTTGTTTGTTCTTGCTTATAAGTAGGAGCCATGCAAAGTGTGAATGCGGAAGCAGAGTGTGGAATGATGGGCCTGGGCGTGTGGTGCATGATGGGAGGTTGCTTTGTGGGTAGGGCATGTCTTGCTTCACTGAGGGGTGCAAGGAAGGCCCTGGCTTCATCACAACACAATGTATCAGCAAACAAGAAGAGCACCTGTACTCCATGAATATCCACCAGTATAAAGTAAATGGGGAAAAAGCAGTGATCAGAGTCTTGGGCCCTTCCTCTTGGGGATCCCTGTACTCAGTATGTTCCCCATATCTCATTTACCTGCCCCAACTGGGAGCTGTAGAAACAGCACCGCAAGTGATACAGTATACGCTCTAATGCAACCATCAGCCTACTCTATAAATCGGCTGGAAAATGAGCCTGCATTTAAAGAGCTTGTGTCTAGCACACAGGAGACCACTAAGCAGTGTGTTAGTGAAGAAGGGAGGCGTGACTAGGGATGCATACCAGGAGCTGTTCACAAGTTGGCACAAGTTAGTGGGTAGATTGCCAGTGAGTCTATTATGTGCCCATTGCTTTCAGAGCATACCGAATGTCTAATCATTATATAGTTTCAAGCCACGGTTCTCAGTTCTGTTTTAATCACACATGAAAATTTAAAAAAAGAAAAGACTATCTTACCTTTTTGATCCAGTTGATATGGGTTTGGCATCAGAATCTGCATTTTCAAGAAATACTTCCAGTGACTCTGATGCAGAAGGTCAAGAACTCAGTGATAGAAAACTGATATAGGTGATAGAGCAAACTTTAGACCAAAGGAATGAAAAACACACTTCAAAGTTACGGTGTCTGACCTGAGAAATGGAAGATTAACATCTGAAAAGAAATTTGCATTTTTTTCCCTCACAGATGTTAATATAGATTATTTTTGGTAACAAAAGAACCCATCACCCTTCTCTGAGATTGAAATCTTGTGCTAATATAATATTGTTATTTTTTTCAGACAAGGTCTGACTCTGTCACTCAGGCTAGAGTGCAGTGGCATCATCATAGCTCACTGTAACCTCAAATTCCTGGGCTGAAGTGGTCTTCCTGTCTCAGCCTCCCAAGTAGCTGGGACTACAGGCACTTGCACGCCTCCACGCCTGGCTAATTTTTCTTTTTCTTTTTTTTTGTGTAGAGGCAAGGTTTGGCTTTTGCTGATCACCTCAGTGATCGTCCCTCCCTGACCTCCCAAAGTGCTAGAACTACAGGTTTGAGCCACTGTGCCTGCCTAGATCTTATGCTAATAATTATGTTTTTTATTTCATAATCACTTTGACTTTTAGAAATTGTTTTTATTGCTTCTTTGGAGGAAATCAGTTATACAGTAGATAGCACTGTAAATGCTCTATGAAGATCCAATTATAATTAAAGAAACTCTATATGTGTGTATGCGATATTAAAAAGTGCTCTTCATAGAAGGTCTTCAGTAATTACTCCAAAGTTATTCTCATTGGTGAGTTTTTGCGATTCAGTTTTGTATAATTCCAAATTTTCTGGTATTTGAGTATGATAAAAACGGATTTTACAATGAACACTGATAGGTACCTGGATCTGCTGTTAACATTTTACTCTGCTTGCTTAAACATGTTATCTATTCAGTTCTCTCATGCTTTTTCCTAGGCAACTCTTACCCTTTGTGCCAAGATGTTATCAGGAAATGCTAGCTGAATACTATACACATATGAAACATATTTTCTATTACTTCAGGTAAATGGCAGTAACACATGAACCACCATTCTGGTATGTGTGTAATGTCAATTAACTCCACTTGAGGGTTCTCTGCAAGCCAATGCATTCCAACATCTGGCAATGCAAAGATGACCTTGGTTGAGGGATGTAAAGATCTATTGAATGGTCAACATGTATTTCAAAGGAGCTGCATGTGGTGGCTCAAACCTGTATTCCTAGAGCTTTGGGAGGCTAAGGCAAGAGAATCATTTGAGTTGAAACGTGGCAACCCAGTGAGGCCCTATCTCTACAAAGGAAAAAAAACCCAGCCAGCTGAATATGTGTTATATGCCTGCAGTCCCACCTACTTGGGAGGCCGAGAGGGGAGGATCACTTCACCCCAGGAGTTCAAGGCTGCAGTGAGCTGTGATTATGCCGCTGTACTCCAGTCTGGGTGACAGAGTGAGACTCTGTTGCAAAAAACAAAAACAAACAAAAAACCCTCCAGAACAAAAAAACTTGACTAAAACTCAACTAAAAACTCAACTGATTTCTTTCAAGTGTATTTGAAAGAAAGCCGATTGATATGAAATGCTATGGAGATGTACTTAAATACTGTGGCATAAACACATATTGTCTGCAGTGGAAATAGTAGTTGAAGGATCTGTGTACGTGTGCAGGAAAGAACTTGTAATTTTTTTCTTTAAATGTGTTTGAAGAAATATAAAAATAAATAAATGTGTTTGAAGTTAGAATTTATGATTTTTTCTTTAAATGTATTTAAAATTAGGGGATTTTTTTTACATTTTCTAATCTTCTTTCATAACCTTTTCTGTCACTTGAAGTTGGTGCATTTTCTTCATTGGTTGAGTGAGAGTGAGATTGGACATTAGGGATTTATCTCATATGATGTTTTCGAAGGCATTTTATTAAATATATGTAAATACAACTAGTGTACATTTTTTTATTTTAAAATATTAAGGGTCTCAAATATGTTAGATTACACAGATCACTTTTGTAATGCTTGAATCCTGGCTGTAGGTGCACCTGTCACCCAAATAGTGTTCGTAATATCCATTAGGTCATCTTTTCCTCTCCATTCCCCTCCTCCCTGGTTGGTTTCCACTGAGTTTCACTTCCCTGTGTGCACGTGTGTGCTCATTGGTTAGTGACAGTTTAATAGTTAGTATGTGAGGTGTTTGTTTTTCCATTCTTCAGATACTTCACTTAGGAGAATGGTCTCCAGGTCCATCCAGATTCTTGCAGAAGGTATTAATTTTCATCAAAAAGACACCTATACTTGAATGTTTATTGCAGCACAATTCATAGTTGCAAAGATGTGGAATCAACCCATGTGTCCATCAATTCACGAGTGGGTTAATAAAATGTGGTTTGTGTGCCATGGAGTTTATGGTCTCTAATCAGCCATAAAAAAGATGAATTAATACCTTTTGCAAACATTTAAAAAAAAATGTCTGTAGCTAAGGTTTCTGAAGGCCTAGTAAGATTGAATTCCATGAAGGCATTAGATGTAAAGCTTTGAAATTTTGTGTTTTATCTTAAAAATTCAGATGAATATTTGCTTTCTATAACATTTTTCTTGGCTTTGACAAAAAGATAATATAAAAATTGCTATGTGGCTACTTGGAAGGTTGTAGTGATCAGCCTGGGCAATATTATGAGACCCTGTCTCAAAAAAGAAAAAAATTGCTTCTCTGAGCAGATGTTTGCAAAAAGAAAAGTTGCACTAGTATTTTTTGCTACCAGATGAAAAAAGATGAATATAATTAAAAAATGTTATGTGTTTAAAATATGGAGTGTCCATGCATACAATACACCAGGGTTTGTTCTGAATGGAATCATTCCTGCAGATACTTAATATAAAAATTATGTACTATCACTTGTAAAGTTAAACATATGAGTTCTAAACTATGGAGTTAGAATTAGACTTGCAGGTATTTTTAATCACTATTAG